ATTTGCAACTTTGAATTATGTTCAAAAGGAGCATGGCTGAACACAAATTGTTGAACTGCAAAGGGAAAGATGAGCTGATAGAACTGTCACCTTGCTTCCGACGGGGCAAGGATACACACATGGGCATCAGATGAGTGGACATGTGACAGGAAGAGAGACATTTGCTTTTGAAAGTTAAAAAACACAAAGTTTTGTCTTTCATCACTTTGGATATTTGTCTTTATCACAAAAGAACTTCTGGAAGCAAATTAATATCTGATGTCACCATTTTGCAAATATGTACAGAAATGTTTTACTTCAATATCCAATGCTTTTATGTATTTTTTTCTTAAATAATTTCTATAGGGTAGTATCTTAATTAGCATCATGTTGGCTCCTGTTTTTTTACAATGTTCCTAGTATACTTGGAAAATGTTTTTTAAACCTTTGGTGTGAAGCAGTGTCTTTTTTTTTTTATTTTCCCTCATTTTTCTTTTTTTCTTTCCTTTTTTGTTTTTTAGTAATTCTGCAGTCTTTGGTTGAAAGGAAGAATACTATCTAAGGACAAAATGCTATTATTTTAAAAAAAGGTCTTCTAGGATGTAACGTGTGTAACAAATTTCGGGAGCAGGTATGAATCACGAGCAATTTTATTTCTTGTAGTGCCATCAATATAAATTTTACTCTGAAAACTGAGATTTAAGTTACAACCTTTGGTTTCTTGAACTCTGACACATGAAAAAAAATCCATTCAAGTAATCAATAGTTATTTCTGCTTTTCCCAATTGCCATTTCTAAGGCCATGTCTTGGCTGTTACATTCACTACATGCACGCTGTGTGTTTCCCATAGAAGGAGCAAAGTGGGGTGAGTGGGCGAGGGAAAGAGGATTGTGTGTGTGGATATGTGTGAGTGTGCATGAGTGTGTGTATAGATGTGTGTGAGCAAGTGTGTGTGTATAGATGTGTGGGAACGTGAGTACATGTGGGTAGATATGCATGAGTGTGTGAGTGAGCATGTATTTATAGATATTTGAGAGAGTGTGTGTGTGTGTGTGTGTGTGTTTGATAGCAAACTGAAATACTTCCATCTGGGATCCCAAACCATTTATGCAAAAGAATGTTTAAATTACTCTGTTGGGGCACTGCAGTAACTGTACTTAGTAAAAAATAAATAAAAATTAAGAAAAAAAATGAAACAATTATTTGTATCTATTGACTATTCATTTACAGCATGTTTAATTATTTACAGAATATTATAACACGTCAACTGAAGCCATAAACAGAATTTGCACATTGCCTTACCATAAAATACAAATCAGAAGTTAAAAATATTTAAGAAATCTGTTTTACTATTTACACACACGCAGTGAAAGGGATGGTTGCTCACAATACGGGGACTCTGTACACTCAGCAGATGGCATGATCATTGTACAGGTGAGACGGTGTGCCCTAACCAACATGGGGAGGTTTCGGGTATTTTTTTTTGTTTTTGTTTTTTTTTCCTCCTCCTAGAAGGATTTTTTAAAAATCATTTTCTGTTTCTTTAAGACATTGTTTGTTTTTAGATAACCAACGGACAATGTTGTTCGTCTCCTTGAAAAAGAGCAAATAGACAAGCAATGCGAGAACTAGTTAATTTCTGACGTTCTGAGGTACAGCACTATTATAGTGTCAAATTGTGCGATGGTTTGTAAGAACAGTAGGCATTGATTTGCAGATAGAGAAATGCTCAGTACCCTGTATCGCTTGTTTCATTATGTTGATTTGTTGGTTGCCAAATTAAAAATATGCATACATTGGTTTAATGAAAAAAAAAAGATATTAGCTTATTCCTTTTGTTTTCCAACATATGAAAGCATATATATGTATGTATGTTTATATGGATCTCTATATACACATATATACACATGGATTGTTGTATGACCTGTTGTTTTGTTGATTGCTTGGCTGTTTTCGTTATTGAATATGAAGTTCATCATAAAACTGGAAAACAGTTATCTATAGAAAATGAAAGGTGTCTTAGTTGCCAATTTAATGCAGGTCTTGCTAAAAATAAAGGTGGCTCGTTCCCCATTATGCTTTCCACTGAACTTTCTCTATGTGTTGTGCTTTTTTAAGCTGACAGATTTTTTGTTGTTGTTCCTAATGCTAGAATGTAAAGTCTCTTGGTTCATAAACCATTATTATTCTTATTCTTTTTAACTGAGCACTGCTTTTGAAGAAATGAGAAGAGGAAAGGTCTAAATGGCGTTGTGTATCTTATGTCTTTTCCCCTTAGTAAATTGCAGTGGAAAGAATTGTAACATTCCCTATGCAAACACGTGACTATGTTGCATGAGTTTTCAGTTCTGAAAATGCATTTCATACCTACTAGCAGTCATGTACAATATATACATATACAGATTGAGACCAAAGATTTCATTTAGACTGAATTTGAGAGTCAGAATTTGCTATGGATTTCACAAAGATGAAAAAACACCTTAATTGCTGGCTATCTGGTTGATTTCTAATAAAAAAAAAATCAAAGTATACATAAACGTATTAGCTGACAGTAATGGCGTATCAGAATTGCCAAAACACACTTTTGTGGTCCTTAAATGTAACCACTGGATATCAAGCTGACTGGTCTTTGTGGACTTATGAGGTCTAACACCCCTCCTCTCGCCCCTCCCCCAATCCAGTTCAACCACAGTAAAAATGTAGTTTAAGAATAAATTCTTTATCTACTGTTTGCAGGATGAGTCAGTTCTTTCTAGCTATGTAGTTATTAAATGCCGACATATGGATTTTGCTCTAGGGCATCTGTTCCATGGCCCATCTTTTCTCCTTCTCCTAATTTCCCATCACTGAGGGCAGAAATGAATCCCTGGTTATATGCTTTTGAGGCTCATGCTGCGAGGTGGCTTCTTTCCACTCTGATCTAGATTACTCCGTCGACTTCTTTGGATATCCAATTTTTGTGAAGCGACAATATCAAGGATTTTTATGGCTTTTACAATCATAGATAAGAGCCCACTTCTAGACTCGGGCTCTGAGTTGTCTCTAGAAAAGCGGTTCCAGAGTGGCATTTTGGAGTTGTGCACCTGAGTTATTGATATGCTCCTTTCTAATGTATGCTACTCGAACTAGAACTGCTGGCGACAAGGGGCAGGCACTGTTACTAGTGTGATGCCCCCACATCATTGCCTCGGTGAAAGCATGTCCCTGGACAATCTTGAAGAATCTCTTCTCTGAGCCCATGGGCGAAACCTTTGTTGGATTCTGCCCCTGGTGTTCAAGTGTATAATCAAGAAATAAGGGCCATAGTCCCTGCTGCCAATGGGGAGAGAAAAATACCACCCAACTGTGAGGCAAAATCAGAAGGCTAAGTACTAAACCTTTTTTTTCTTCTTCTCAGATACTTGAAATAGAAAGACAGTAGGACTCATCATATTCCAAACTGCTAAATCATCAGGGGGAAAAACCGTAACATTTTATCCATGGCCAGATGCTGGCCTTGGCTACTAGGCACAGTTAGGAATGTTACTCTGAAAAGAGGTGTTTTTGTTTTTTAAATAGACATCGCAAAGTCACCCTCCAAGCGAAAGTTCAATCAAATCAGATTTTAAGGAAAATTTAGCAAGTCATTATTTCCTCCACGAAGAGCAAACGATGAATCTCACATCGATAGAAATACAATATATTAGCTTATTCTCCTTACTGTCCAACATATGAATGTGTATGTCCAATTAGTAGAGAAAGAAACACAGTGACATACTTTAAAAATGGAATAAAAACAATATATCATGCCTACCTGATGATCAGTTAGACATTTTTCTGCAGTATCAACTGAGGTTTACCACCTTCGTCAAGTCATTGTGAACTTGTATTTTCCACTAGTTTTCATATCTTCCTTGATTAGGGAGATTGCAACATACACAATGAAGGCAACCTTACAAAATCAAACCTAACCAACCCATAAACTAACTCTACTTGCGCACATAATCTTTGAAGTATTGTCTGCTATGAAAAATACTCAGGTGAACTTCACGTAAGGGGATAGAGTTCAACCAATCTCTCCAAAGCTTACTTTTTCTGTCTCCTAAGAATATAATCAGAATTTCAGAAGCAAGACAAGCTGGAAAGGAATGTTAATCCTTTAAAGAAATGAACAAATCCCTCTTATAAAATACCCTATTAAAGTCAGAAATAAACTTAGAGTGGAAAATGCCGAAGAGACAGCTGACACTGTGGGAGAAAAGTAACCTGTTTGCGCTTTATATGAGTCGGTCTGGATAACTCTCAATCTAACCTGCATCTAAGCTGATGCTAACTTGGCTCACTTTTCTCTTACATGGGTGTCATTTAATGAGATAGACTATACAAGCCTCTGTAGCTATGCTGTCAAAAGCTTATGAGGTTGAAAAAAAAAATCTCCTTCTCCCTTTTGCCTCTGACCACAATATGTATCGAACAGACGCTGTGTGGGCCGATAAGGGTCATGATGCTCGCTTGCTTTAATTTTGTTCCAATAGTCATTTCTGGATCTTCCACTGTGCTCTGGGTTTTCAACTCTTCTTTTAACCGCCTAGGAAACAGCATTTTAGAAAAATTTCTTTGGCCACCACGCGTGCTAACGTTTAGCATCCTCCTGGTCTCTAAATGTCAACATGGAAGACATCGTAGTTGATTCCCAGGGCCCAGGCAATCTGAAACTGGCCAGGTTGGCTTCCTGAATCTCTGTCTTGACTCCCTATCTGGTGTGAACTACCTGAGAACCTTCTAGCATCCAGTGGGAATGATCTCCCCATGGCACCAGTACCACCTTCATAAGACAGGGACAGACCGTCTTCTGCAAGTGTGCTCAGATGGCACTGAGGACAGTGTTTCCTAAGCATGGTGCCACCTCAGTCGCATGCCAACCTTAGGAGCGAACAGGGGAAGAGCTCAGCGAAACGGCTGACGGCCAGCCTCCTAGGAATAGCTTCTCCATAATTCCCCTCTGTGTCGGCTGCACCCTAAGCAGAAAAAGTGGGACCCTCAGACTCAGTCTTGCCAGCACGTGTACAAATCACTTGTATTTTACCTGGAAAACCACAAAGGACCTCAGCGTGTTCAGTACTTAGCAGAAGCAACCCAAATGGTATGAAATGGACCACAGGATAGGCCAGCAACTAAGGTATTTTAGCATCCCTTTTGTCCTGGATTGATGTGTTTTCCAAGTCCTACGTCCGTCTGTACAACTGGTTTGAGGAGGGATCGAGTCCTTGCCCCCCGCGGGAGGCTGTCTTTTAGTTCACATAGTAAAGCCAGTAGACGATGTTGAAGAAGGAAAAAACCACCGGGAAGAATATGCGGGACCACCGATCGATGGCATTCACATCAGTCAAGTCGGGGATGGTGATTTTCAGCTGGGAGGCGCGTCTCCGCAGGCGGCTTTTCTTCTGGGCCACGTGTCGTTCCAGGGCATTGCGGCCGAAAGTATGCCTGGGCAGCCCGGCTTTCCGGTACTGGATGCTGGAGGCATCGTACGCCAGCATCGTGCTCCTGGGGTCCCCCAGCCCCAGCACAGCCTCGGACGTGGCCATCTCATTTTTGATCTCCAGGGTGCTCAGTAAGATGTTCTCATGGGGGTCCATCTGCAAGGGAGAAGAATCAAATAGGACAATCACAACAATAAGCCTTTATAGATGCTTATTAGAGCAGGGTGCTGCGATATACAGTTTAGGCAGTCAGGAGGCCCTTGAATGACACGGGTTCTGTGTGGGCCCACTTGAATACGGATTTTTTTCAATAACTAGCCAGTTTGAAATCTGAGGTCGAGAATCTGTAGATGGCGAAGGCCAACTGCACGCACTGTTCTATGTCATTTTACAGGGACTTCAGCACCTTTCGGTTTAGGTATCTGCAGGAGGACCTGAATCCCCTGTAGTTACTCAGAGACCACTTAAGTTTCTGGGGAGTCAAAAGTTAGACATGGATTTCAACTGTGTAAACATCAGTACCCCTAACCCCTGGATGTACAAGGGTGGACTTTGTATTTGTCACGGTGGTTAAGAGAACTGGTTTTGTGGTTACATTATCTGACGCTGAATTGTGGTTCTGCTACTATGAGCTATGTGAGTTTCAGTTTCTTCATCTCTCAAAGGATCTGGTAATCCAACCCTGGAAGATTGCCATAATGATGTCATTAGATAATAGATGGTTGCTGGTACAATCTTCATTATTTCTCCTTAGGAGATGCAGAGAAATGAAAGGGATTATACCCCTTAAAGAATTTATAGTCTTGAAACTAATGCATAAAATAGTACACTGTAGTAGATATAAAATAATATTAGGGGATTAATTAAGGAATCTCGGGGCTCACGACAGTAGACTAATTAAAGATGAATTCATGATACAACTAGAACTAAAAACCATAGGTAATATTTATTAAGCACTTGCTATATATGCCAGAAACATTTTTGTATAACCTCATTCAACTGATGCTTCTTAACACCCACACTTATAAGTTGTCACCTTAAATTTGTAGTGTCCATATGAATAAGGTAAAGAAAAAGATTCAAACAATATAAATGCAGGCAATGTGTGATTTGTCAAAATGCAACAGAATTCAGAACAACATGAAACTTGAAAAAGACAGTGAGCAGACCATGGGCGTTGGGGTGGTGAGTGGGTGAGTGGGTGAGGGGTGAGGGACTGACTCAAGAAGGAAGGGAAGGAGGCAGGATTCGAGAACAGGGTCAGCCCAGAGTTGGCTGTCCTGAGTTAAACTGTAGGCCCAGGGAGTTGAACTAAGGTTGCTGTGCAGATGGGGTGACCCTTCTCTTTCCTGGATGATTTCTCATTGGCCGAGCTAAACGTAAAGGATGATCACTGATATCATGATTCCCAAAGACTGGGTGATTTGCAATGTTTTTTAAAGAAGGGAAGATTGTGTGTTTCACTTTTAAGAAGCCTCAGTGGTTTAAATAAATAATAAAACCTAGACACAACACTTTATTAATAGCAGGTGATGTTTATTTTGGTGGGGAATCAGGATATACCAATTTCCAGTAACATTTTTGAAAGTACAAAACAAAAGAAAAATGGCCAATGATAGGTACTGGTGATATATGGAAGCAAGGAATACAACCAAACACTTAATTGGAAGATATAATGCTGGGAGCTTCATTAATTATGCAGAAGGCAAAAAGAATGTTGCTGAGATTATATATTATCAATTAGCCTTCAAATGTGGTTTAATGACCCTGTATTATAAATTCAAATGTGAAATCTTTTGAGAAATAGAGGCTATAAAATATGTTGGAACATAATAATTGAGCAATTCATCTCTGCCCACTGATCAGACATTCTCTATGTTTGGTTTATGGTAGTGTTTTGCTTAGTGGAAATGTTAAACAAATATATTCTTAAGAATAAAATTTTTAGAGTTTATAAGATTTAGAAATTAAGCCCAATGAATGCTGAAACACTTCTCACAAGAAAGGGCCAGGCAATGGCCTTAATGATGGATTTGGTGGCCCCGTGGAAGAAAGAAATATTTAAAGCTGCAGACTACGTGTTAGTACTTTGCAAAAATTGTCGTGCTGAATGCTCAAAACCATCCTTTCGAAATAAAGTTTTTTCCTAGGTTATAAGTCAAGTCATTCACCAAATTTCCCCAAATCCTAAATGATGGAGCTGGAACTCCAAACTTCGGTCATTACAGTCCAAAGCTTGGGGCGGGGGGTGGGGTGGGGTGGGGATTAGGACTTTCCAAAGTTCAAGGACAGTGACTCTGATGGAAATGGCAAACCTGTCCCCCCTTGTTATTTCAGGTAGCGTGCTCTTTTTCTGGTCTGCTCTGGGTTGTTCACTGTTACTTTTACCACGTAAGGAACAGCTACTGAGCAAAATATCTTTGGCTACTATGCATGATGATATCCGGGAGACTCCCCTCTCTAACACCATGATATTTGTTTTTCTACTGGGCAAATGTAATAGGAACACTTATGAACATACACCGGACTTGACTGTGGTGAAAACGTAGGTCAAGAATAACGACACACAATAAATCACTATTAAGAGAAACTTGTTCTAAGGTTAGAATGAACGATTCTTGAACAATCTGTATCATTTTGGCGAGTTTCTGTTTCATTTCCTAGGAAATTCACAACTTGTCCGATGAGAGAATTCCTGAAGCTGTAGCACTGATTGATTTACTTTGTTCATAACTTTAAAAAGATGTTTACTGAACACCACTGTGGGTTTGGCGCGGTGCCAAGCATCAGGCTGCCCGAGAGAGAAAGAGGGCATTGCTGCTGGTCCCCCTGCAGTCAGTCTCCAGAGAGGGTACTGCATTTGAAGTCAAAAGACTGGAGTTCTGGCTCGTGTGTGTGTGTGTGTGTGTGTGTGTGTGTGTGTGTTTTGATCTTGGAAAAGTGATTTCATCCCTCTGACTCTAGGTTTCTTCAACTGTGAGAGTAAGGTTTGGGGAGATTAACTAAGAGAATATGTGGGAAGGCAGGCGCAGTGCTGAGCTGGTTGCTAGGAGATGCTGCGAACGCAGTGGGAAGGATGCAGTGTCGGTGGGGTGGGAAAGCACAGGGCACAGCTGTGCCTAAAAGAAAAGCAAGTCCGTTCACCTTGCAGGGTGCCTGGAGTCGATATGGGTGACGAGCTTCCTGGAGGTAAACACCCCTGGAGGTCTTTCCAGGCTGAAACGGGAGTGGGGTACAATGGTGGTGAGCCCCCTGACAAGGACGCTCTGTGATGTGGGCTGTCTGCACACCCACTGAATCAGCTGTTCTGCTGGCTAGAGGCATGGACTTGAGTTGTCCACTTGAGTTGTTTTCCAGACTGACCCATGTGCTGATGGTTCTAACAACGGCAAATTCACATTACAGATTCGGATGGGGAGGTTTTCTTTTCTTTTCTATTCTCCATCCTAATATTTTTTTTCCCAGCAAGAAAAGAATGCTTGGTTAAAAGAGCTCCGTTTTGCTTAAAAGATACTGCATTGAACACTGAAGAGTTCGCCTATTTTTATATAGTGATTCATTATTCAGGTCCGGTTTCCGGTGCGCTGCACCTTGCTCCGTGACGGGTGTGTGCTGTGGAGGGGCGTCCTGTCCGACGGTCATATATAGAAAAGCCAACGGCATCCTTCAGTGACCCAGCAGCATCACAGCTTACCTTGGGGCGGGAGAGTGGGGCTATTTTATACCTCTGTTCACCACTCATACCAAAATTAGAGCGACAAACTGCAAAAATCCCAGAAATCTTAACTTTGCAATTTCTAATTACTAGGACGAGCGTGGAGGTGGGAGATCTTGTTTCATCTTCCACGAAATGACACTGTGACCCGAGTAACCTGAAAGGTCAAGGCAATGAACTGATGACCACCTGGGAATATTCAGAGCATTCTCTCCAGAGGAAAACACTCCGACACTGCCTGGGATGCACTCAGTGTTCTAAGAGGTGAAAGAAGCTTCACCCAATCAGAGCACACCCCGGAGATTCGAGGAGCGCTGGAGAAGGCCACCGACTTCGACTTTCCGAATCGCTCCGCCAAAGTCAATGCAGGAAAAGTAGCCAAATATGGAGTTGAGACTGGAATGTCAATATTGGAGAACAGTGTTGAAATGCCCAGGTAGCTGCAGGAAGGTGGCCATTTTTAATAAAAGCCAATAGAAAGAAAGAAAGAAAAAGGCCGAGATGATTTTCACTCTATCTTTTTGTTTCTATTACGCTGTTGTAAAGTGCTGGAAATCTCACAACTATGTTGTGAGGATGGAATTAGTATTCTTAGCATTTCGGAAATAGCCCTTTTCCATCAAAATCCAGAAATTCTCAGGTAGCTAGAAGCTAATTAAGTGGTAAAGCAATAATTTAAATTTATGTTTTCAGATTTGAACCTTCAACTCTTTCTACTAAATATTTTCACTATAGAGTGAAATTCCTACGAAGTGGACTCTGGTGGTTCTCAGATATGAATTACCTAATAGTTGTTTGTTGTTTTTGTTGTTAATCCTCACCCAAGGATATTTTTCCATTAATTTTTTTTTTATTTTTTTCATATAGACAGGAAGGGAGGGAGGGAGAGAGAGAGGGAGAGAGAAATATCGATGTGAGAGAGACACATCGATCAGTTGCCTCCCACATGACCCTGATGGGGACTGAACTGCAACCCAGGTACATGCCCTTGACCAAGAATCAAACCCGCAACCCTTTGGTCCATGGGCTGATGCTCTAACTGCTGAGCCAAACAGGCCAGGGTGTGGTTGTTGTTTTGATTTTCAATTTTTAAATTCTCATGGGTAGATCACATTAGTACACATTTCAAAGTTTCCTTCGTAAAATGATTCCCTATTAAGGAATTACATTAATGAATCCATTCATTATGGATCAGTGACCTGTGTGACACTACTTTATTAGTCATTTACAAGGGAAAAATATTCTGCTTCAGACACATAGAAAAAATCGACTTGGCCTAGTGGGTGGATCAAATGAGCTTGGTGAGGTCTTCAGTTATTGTTCTAGTGAGAGTGAAGGTTTTAGAGGAAATAAGGGGTAGACCTCAGAAGCTGAAAGAGAAGAGTATGGTTTTTCTCTCCAAAGAACCCCAGAAGACAAGGTTTTTCTAAGGGTCACGATT